GTCAGTTGCTATGGCTATCACTCTTTATACTGTGAATGTGTTGCTCCAATTGGTTAATAAATAAAATGCTGATTGGCTAGTAGTCAGGCAGGAAGTATAGGCAGGAGAAGAAGAGAGGAGAATTCTGGGAACAGGAATGCTGAGTCAGGAGTTGCCAGCTAGCCTGAATGCTGGGATACTAGCTGCTGATTTAGATTTAGACAGGAGTTTAAGTTCCTCAGAGATTTTTCTTTCCCAGTTTAATCAGCTTAGTTTTTATGATCTATAAAATAATTACATGAATTTGTCTCTGTACTGAAACAGTGTTTATATATGTAGCCCAGGCTGACCCCCATGTTGTACCCTTGCTCCTCCTGTCTCCTGAGTGCTGAGATTCCAGGTGTGTGCTAAATGCCTCGGTTACCATGAACTTTTCTTAGTACTTAATGTTTTGTAAAGATATTTTATAGTTTAATTTATTTTTTTAAATAAAGTGCTTTTTGAGTAAAAAACAAAACAAAAAAAGAAGAGCACACTGGTTGGTTAACCATTACCAAATGGTCAGCCCTTAAAACATACATACAAGTAATATTATACTGACTGAGTGTGCTGTATTTAGAAACACATCTGTATGTATACATATAGATCTGCGTGCTTTAATAATAAAAAAGAGAATATTAATTTGAAAGAAAAAATAAGGAATATGTGGGAATGTTTTCAGGATGAAATGTAATTATATCATAATCCCATGAATGAAAATTAGAGAAAGTAAGTAAATGTAGGTAAATATAACTATATTATAAGAAAATTTGCAACAATTTTTATGAGAGATAATCCAGACCATTCTGTAGACTTTTTGGTAACTAAAAAGAATTGCAAATATATGGTGATATTTTATTTGTACTGGATTGGATTTTTGTATATTGTATTCAAATTATATATATTGAGATTGATATTGTTAGAAGATGCTATATGAATAGTTCTAATCTTGTTCAAGATATTGTACTTATACTAATCATTTAACAAGGAAATACAATTTGCTAATGCTTGAATGTTATTATTACCAACTATTATGATATAAAGAAACAAAATTAGTAGTTAGACATTACAATCAAACTTGTCATATTAGGTATGTTTTTAAGATCGAGCAGATATATTTTAGATAGACAGGTCATCTTTAAACCCTTCAGAGATTTACAGAATATGGCATTTAAAATGTTTTAATAATTTAGAATTTTCTTCTTTTTATGATTATGAGGCATATTGAAAATATGGGCAATGAAAAAACTGCATATGGAGTTAACTTTCATTGTGACAAAAGTTAGCCACTGTACAACAAAGCATCCTCAAATCAACTGCTGACAAACAGGACAAAATGGACAGACAGGATATGAAACAAAGGACTACTGATTCTTGCCAAGACTAGTGTCGTTGTGGCTTTAACAAAAGGCCTCTTCTGAGGCCAGGACCATATGGCACCATTCCTGAAGTGGCCTTTACAATCCAGAAAAGGTACAGTGCCTCTTTCTTCGAAGGCAGCTGAACTGGCAGTGGACCGATGATTTCTGATGTACAGTGGAACAGCAGCAGAAACAGCTATTCTTGAAACAGTAACTAAGCTGACAGAGTCTGCTGTGGGACGGTCTGTATGTCAAATTGCTCTGATTGGTCAATAAATAAAACACTGATTGGCCAGTGGCCAGGCAGGAAGTAGGTAGGACAAGGAGAGAGGAGAGTTCTGGGAAGCAGAAGGCTGAGGCAGAGAGACACTGCAGCCGCCGCCATGACCAGCAGCATGTGAAGATGCCGGTAAGCCACCAGCCACGTGGCAAGGTATAGATTTATGGAAATGGACTAATTTAAGCTATAAGAACAGTTAGCAAGAAGCCTGCCATGGCCATACAGTTTGTATGCAATATAAGTCTCTGTGTTTACTTGGTTGGGTCTGAGCGGCTGTGGGACTGGCGGGTGACAAAGATTTGTCCTGACTGTGGGCAAGGCAGGAAAACTCAAGCTACAAGAGTCTAACCTCTCAATAGTCGACTGGCATTTAATAGAGGGAAGCAGAGAATCTATCTGAAAATGTACAGCGTAAAACCCTGACTGCAAACATTACTGGGGTTGGAGACAAAAAAAGAAAATGAAAAAATAAAGAAGCAGGCCACTAAGCAGAATTCCTCCATGGCTTCTCTACCTGCTCCTGCTTCCATGTTCTTGCCCTGTTTGAACTGCTGTCTGACTTCTTCAATGATAAGCAGTGATGCTGAAGAGCAAGTCAAAGAATCCCTTTCCTCATTTGGTCATGTTGTTTTATTAGAGTAATAGTAACCCTAAATAGGACAAATGGTGAGGAGAGGATCATCAAAGAAAAGGAACAAACAATCTTGTAGCTGGGCAAATACCAAACCTGGCATCTCCATGTCTGATATCAAACTGCTCTCCAACTCCTTTCAGCTTTGCTGACTGCAACATACATGTTTTTTCTTGGGCTGGTTCTACTCTCTGTCAGGAAGTTCCCACCATAGGTATTCTACAACTCTGGCATCTCCAACATCCTGGTGTATCCAAAGCAATCTAGGCTTTACCTTTTCAGCTTCATGCTCAGCCTTTAAGGCCTCCATACTGGGACAGACCTTATATATTCCTGGCATCAGCAACTTGCCTTAGTTACAGAGAGATTCCATAACCCCTTTGTTGTATCCTTAACTTTATAGCCAGGATCTTGTGGCAGAGGCTGCCAAGTTCTGCTGTTTGCTTTCTGTTTTTGATGGTTTCGTTCGCTGCCCAAGCTGAGCTGTCCTGGAACTTGCTCTGTAGACCAGTCTGGCCTCGAACTCAGAGTTCCATCTGCCTCTGTCACCTGAGTGCTGGGGTTAAAGGTATGCCCACAATGCCAGAGCCCAAGGTTTTTCTTTTTAATTCCTTTTCACTTGCCTTTATTTCCTTATCACAAGGTGGAAGCTAAGCTGGGTAGGATCTTGTTCTGAGGTTAACATTTCCTTTATTTCAATTAGCATAAGTATTTTTGTCAATCTGTTTTTACTTCCTGGTAGCTCTATTCTCCAAGAACTGCACATTTTATGTTTTTCCTTGCTTAGCTTTCTCCTTTTCATTATAGATCCACAAAAACTGGCCACTAATAACCACACAACACCACCAATACTAAGCTTTTTTGATATCTCTTTTGCCAAAGCTGTTAATCCATAACTTTTCAATTTGGCCTCAGGCAAATAATATGGACAAGGGCAGAATACAGTCACATTCTTCTACAAAATTTTACAAGAATGATCTCTTGGCCACATGCAAAACTTCTTCTCTGAAGCTTCTTGAGCTGCATCCCACAGTTCATGTCACCCTTGGCACAACTGTCTTCCATGCTCCTGCTAGTATGGCTCATTAAACTCTACTTAAAGTGTTCAACTGCTTTTCTAATCCAAAGTGCCAAAGTTCACTTCTTCCAAACAAAATCACTGCCAGGCCTGTCACAGCTATACCACCATCCCTGATACAAATTTTTATGTTAGTCAATGTTCTATTGCTATGAAGAGATAATATGACCCACAGCAACTCTTATAAAGGAAACTTTTAGTTGGGGCATGCTTTCAGGTTCAAAGGTTTAGTCCATTACCACCATGTTTGGAAGGATGGTGGCCCACAGGTAGACATGGCACTGAAGAAAAAGCTGAGAGTTGCATACCAACAAGGCCATGCCTCCTAATACTGCCAAATTGCTATTAGCCGATGGGGTCGTTTTCATTCAAAGAACCACAAACAACACACACACACACACACACACACACACACACACACACACACACACACGGATCTGTGAAGATTCCCAATAATCCAATAAGCATATTGCAACCTACCTTTAGGTCTTAGCACAATGCACATCTCAATAAATATGAGATTCAATTCACTATGGGGAATATAATAAGCAAGAAAATCAAACTGTCAAGAGCAAAATGCTACATAATTCCATTCATGCTGCACTACAAGAAGTAAAGAACAGAGAGAGTAAATCAAGTATGGGCTGACAAGGATTAAGAGCGAGTCAGGTGATATAAGGCAGATGTATGGATTATTTTATATGACAATGAAATAGGGTATGCTTGATAACATTTTTTCCACAAGATTTTATACAACAAAAATTGATTGCGTATAAGTTTTTGAAAGGACTTGATTAGGTGATCCCAGGAAGACTCCAAGACAAAACAGTGAGAGTTTACTTTAAACACACGAATAGTCTCAATGCAGGAAATCACGGACATAGGTAGATGAACCAGAGAAATGAGTAAACAAGTGAAGATTCAAACTAAAGGAGATGTATGATATCCCTCAATGTGGTTGGTAGAGGTGTTTTCATGGGCACATGCAGGGGCAGTTCTGATAGTCTTATGCAGGTGTTTTTGCTGAGTGTGACCTACTTAATGGAGTCAAATTAATTATAGGTAATGAGGAATATTTAAGGAAAATAAAATAGTAGCTCAATGCATTTGGTATTAGATTTGTTCATGTGATGCTGGGGTAAAGATTAGCACTCATGCTTCATTATATATGTATGTACAGTCATGGTTATGAATATTTGCAAGTGGAGGAATAAATACACTCAGAAACAGGAATTGCTGTCAGATGGCAGGATTTAGATCATAAAAGGCAGTAATAATGAGAATATATCGTGTTCAAACTTTTTTACTTTAATGGGATGTTGGGGCCTGGGGTGTCTTGCTTTATACTTTTCAATTTTAAAGACATAATCTCACTCCACAGCATCACACTAACCAGGATCTCATTCATTAGCTCAATCTACTATTGAATTCACAGCCAAACTCCAGTGCCAGATTATTATATTCTGAGATTATGTGGATCAACTACCATGCCTGATTAGGTCTCACTTTATAATGCCACCCTCTGATTAGTCTAATAAGATTATGGCAAATACATGAAGTTTAGCCTTGGGTACTCTGTATTCAAAATTAGCATGAAATAAGTTTTAACATTAGTACAGTAATTGATCTAAAATGCTGGACAACGGGTTTCTGAGCCTGGACTCGCCCACCTATGTCTTGTACAGGGACAGGGCAGAATGGGTTGATATAGACCCAGTCCCACAGAATGATGGCCCTAATCCAGTGGTACAGATCATCTACAGTGAAAAGTTTAGAGATGTTTATGATTACTTCTGAGCTGTCCTGCAGCGCGATGAAAGAAGTGAACGAGCCTTTAAGCTCATCCGGGATGCTATTGAGTTAAACGCAGCCAGCTATACAGTGTGGCATTTTCGGAGAGTTCTCTTACGGTCGCTTCAAAAGGATCTGCAGGAGGAAATTAACTACATCACCGCGATAATTGAGGAGCAGCCCAAAAACTATCAAATTTGGCACCACAGGAGAGTGCTGGTGGAGTGTCTCAGACACCCCTCTCAAGAGCTCGAGTTCATCGCCGACATCCTCAACCAGGACGCAAAGAACTACCATGCCTGGGAGCACTGGCAGTGGGTCATTCAGGAATTTCGACTTTGGGATAATGAGCTACAGTATGTAGACCAGCTTCTCAAAGAGGATGTGAGAAATAACTCTGTCTGGAACCAAAGACACTTCGTCATTTCTAATACCACTGGCTACAGTGACAGTGCTGTGTTGCAGAGAAAAGTCCAGTATACTCTGGAAATGATCAAGTTAGTACCACACAATGAAAGTGCATGGAACTACCTGAAAGGAATTTTGCAGGATTGAGGTCTTTCCAGATAACCTAAGCTGTTAAATCAATTGCTTGATTTACAACCAAGTCACAGTTCCCCCTACTTAATTGCCTTTCTTGTGGATATCTATGAAGACATGCTAGAGAACCAATGTGACAACAAGGAGGACAATCTTAATAAAGCACTAGAGTTATGTGAGATCCTAGCTAAAGAAAAGGACACTATAAGAAAGGAATATTGGAGATATATTGGAAGATCCCTTCAGAATAAACACAGAAGAGAAAGGGACATACCAACAAATGTATAGCAGTGAGAGTGTTGGTCGAAGTGGATGCTGCTTTCTTTCTAAGGGCCTCTAACACAGGAGTGAAAACTTGAGCGACCATCCCTTGCCTGTGCGCTAAAGTTGTTGCCCGGGTGCTGTTTTTAACAAGAACTAAGTAGGATACTCCTGAATGCTGATGCTCTTCACACTAGCTCTAAGAAGTCAATTCTTGTAAAGCAAGGTCATTGGAGGGGGGGGCGTGTAAAGGCCTTCCCATAAAGGAACGGCTGCTTTGGTAGTCTTCCCAACATTTAATCCAGTCCTGTAGAATCAACTCCTCCCAGAAGGTGTGTGTGCCAGGCTTTGTGCTGGTAGTGACTGAAGGTACCTGTTACTGGTTTGTGGTGACTTCAGTCTGGTGCATTAAACAGGGACTGCAACTGTTGACTAGAGCTGCTGTGCCATGCTCATGGTATCTTGCTATCACTGTAACCAACTAATGCTAAAAGAAGGGTTTTATAATAAAAACACATGGATCTATAAATGACAGCACCCTAGTCGTTTGGTTTTGACTGTGTACAAGGGACATTCTAGCAGTTTAGAACCAACAAGGAGCCTAGTGCTTGGGAGGCTGAGTCAGGAGGATTGCTGCAAGTTTGAGGCCAGTCTGGACTGCATAGAGAGGTTCATGCCAGCTCAAAAAACAGAGTGTTGCCTTATTTTTAAAAAAATGGCGCAAAAAAAAGAATCAGGAAGAAAATATTGCTATAAAATTGGTGATCGTGGTGAGGGAAATGTATGTAAACTTGTTAAAATGGGACTTGGTCCATTTTTTTTTTACTGTAAGCAACATTGGCTTTCTAATAATGGGAAGACCAAGAATCCAGTAGTTGTTCAGTACATGAGGCTTGATGTCTCAGTTGGTCTTCAGTTTCTTCCAGAATCCTGAAAAAGTAGGCTTACTATTCCTACATTGAAGGAATAGACTTGCCAGCCAGAATGAGGGCCACAGGCAAAAAAGAAAGACATATTTCTTCCATGATCTTTATATTGGTTGCCACTAGAAGGTGTGACCCAGATTAAAAGTAGATCTTCTTACATCAAAAGATCTGGATTGAATATGGGTCTTCCAACTTCAACTGATTCACTTAAAAATCTTTCACAGTCACATCCAACCACTTGGGTTTTAGTTATTACCATATGTAGTCAAGTTGACAACCAAGAACAGCCACCACAGCGGGTATCTTAATTAAAATTGTGTAAAGTGTTGAAATATTTTTTCTAAATAATATATGCAAATTCCCAAAAAGCACATTAAGAAGCAGTTTGAGATCTTATGGCAGTTTGTACTTAACAAAGACTGGGCATTGCTCAAATCTATGTTAAGTTCAAATGACAAAACAGAAAAATACAATATGGTGTGAAATTCCCTTAATGAGAGAACACAAATTGGAAAGTATAAAGACTAAAAATCGAGTAGATGATAACAGGCTTGGGAGAGAAGGTCATACAGATAACAAGCAAAACTAATTTTTAATTAAATTATTTTTTGTGTTTTGAGCTTTGTAAAATGTGTTTTGATTATATTCTCTCCCTCACAAAACACGTCTCAGATCTATACCCATTCTCTGTCTAATCAACTTTGTACTCATTTTTACTTTTTTTTTTAAAAAAAAACTTGAATATCACTTTGTGCCAGCCAAATATTTCTGGACATGTGGTCCTCTACTGGCATGTGGTCAGTTTATCAAAGGACACAATTTTACATAAAATTGTTTCTGCCTCTCTCTGCATCTAACCATTTCCAACATCTACAAATCTGGGAGTGGAAATGTGCACCAAATTCCCCACTTTATGGTGGGATTTGGTTTGGTATGGGCTTACACATGTCTTGAGTATGCTGTCTCAATCACTGTGAAGTCATATGGACAGCTTCCCTGCATTGTCCTGATATTTCCTTGTAGTCATACATAATCTATGGCTCTTATATTCTATGTACCCCATTTTCTCCAATTAGCAAAAACCCTGAGACAGAAAATGCTGTGTATATTTTCTTTTTAGGGCTGAGCATTCTGTAGTCACTTATTTTCCACACTTTGTCCAGTTGTGGGTTTCTGTGTTTATCACCATCTATTTTAAACAGATGTTTCTCAAATGAAGGCTGACAGATGTATTGATCTATGGGTAAAATGATAAGTCATTTGGAATTGGTGCAATATTGTGTCCATCTAGCAGCACAGTATTTGTAAGTTCTCTTTATGACCTATGTTCTCCATAGTCATAAAATTTTAGTCTGATATCACTGTCATATATGGATTTTGCCTTGTAGAGTTGGAGTTTAATCCAGTCTGAAAGTGGTTGATTATTCCCACAACATTCATTAATACCAGTGTAAACAATTTCTTTAGGCCACTGTTATTATTGTTTCTAACAATATAAAAGTGGATGCATAAAAATGCTTTTTGACACACTACCAAAATTTGGAATGGATAAAATTTCATTGGATATAAACTATTATGAATAAGAGGAGGGCTAATCTATGGAAACGACAAAATGATGCCATATACCTGTGTCTGTAAACATAATGAATAATTCTCTGGATAAGACTGGTGAAAACAAGGAGCAAGTTCAAGGTAAGTGAGTAGGTTGAGATTCATAGACTGAAACCGAAAGCAGCTAAAATAAAACATTAATTTTTGGTCAAGTTTTGCTTTAGGATTCCGGATGAGAGACTGATGCATTCCCTCAGGCAGTGAGGTGTTCAGTCAACTTTGTGTTTCTCTTTATGTTCCCTCAGTAGCCAAGGAAATATAGAAGCTTGACATTTGGTCATAGACATTCATCTTGTTTACCCTGTATATCTTGCAAACATTGTTGTATCCTGGCAACAACAAGTGTATTGGTCCTGGCAATTGCCATTATATTATGTTTCTGATAAACATAAAAATATCTGATTGCTCTTAATAAAACTGCCAAAGTTTAAGCTTTGCTATGGACCTCTCAACTGGCCTGATTTCATTCCCTATGGCCACAATAGGTGACCTTGGCCTGGTAAGTAAGCTCAGAACCTTACAACTAGCATTCTTATTTGTATAAACTTGGTACTCACCTCAGAGATTTTAAAGTACATAGCATGTGTACAGTGTAATGCTTGGTAGAACCCCACCTTTGACTTAAAACACTGATACCATGGCAATGTCTATCCTATCATTGGACCTCCCTACTGCAGAGTATACAGAATACTTGAGCAAAACACAGATCCACTGGTAAAGGGCTTCGACTTTTCTCCTCTTGAAATTTTGAGAGAGAAATGCAGGACATGGCTGCAAATTTGAAACCTTTGATCTAATCAGTGAACACCACCATCTTAGCCTCACATGCTCAATTTTACCCAGAGAGGCCTCCCCAGTCATGGAAAGTCCAGCAGTGACTGAAAGAAAAGTACATCTGGGCAATGGAAGCAAGGAATATGCTTCCTTCCAGAACACATGGTACTGAAGAAGGGCTGCTTCCTTGCATGCAGTTTAGGCTCTGGACACATGTTCTTTAGAACAAGGATTCTCAATGGACAGGATTATGGAAGACTGGCTCTCAAGACTCCAAGAAGGTTGTGTCCAATGTACAGAAGCCTTATGTTCCACTCATTTGAAAACAAATGCACATACAAATAAGACTACTTGATAGGAATTTGTTGGACATGTATATGGGGCAGAGGTTTAGGGAAGGCTGAGAAGTATTAAATTAAGTATAACAAAAGGAAAGCTGTTGGAGATCTTCTATAGTTATTACAAAGATAATAAAAAAGTGGGCAGAAAGCTGAAGAAATACCACAGTTAGTTGTGCACCTGCCTAGCATGTGGAAGGCCCTGGGTTCCACTTCCAGTACTGAAAGAGAAGGTGAAAGAATTATGAAAAATTCTCCCCATAGTTGAATTCCCTGGAGTATATGAGCCTAGCCTTACAGCCAAAGAGAATAGATTCAATGTACAGATCTGCAGCTATCATGTGGATTGAAGTGAAGTAATCCTATTTCCTACAGATAATTTATAGAAAAACCTGACTGGAACCTGAAGTACTTGATGTTACGTGGCAGCAAATGGTAGCTGCTGTATGGTTTCTTAGAAGACTGTCTTTTCTTAGAAATTTCTTCTTGTTATCATGAATGAGGTCTACCAACATGTCATAAACAAGCATTAAGCCTTTTACATACTTGACTGTCTTCATTTTCAGCCCCAAGGTGGACTTCTTGTCACACACAAACATAGTATGGGGACACTGCTAGAAGGCAGACATAGTTCAGATGTGGTGTGCACTTCTTGTTGTCCTTGTATAGAACACTTTGTGGGCTCCTGTGAACAGGATTGTCACCTATGTCACATCTATGACAGTGCCTATACCAACTGTCAGGGCAATGGTGGGCACCTTGGTCAGACTGTCATTGGTGAATCTGGTTTTGGCCCGGAAGATATCCTTGGACTCTCTCTTCACCCAGGTTCTGGAGACCAGATTGGTTACCAGTTCATTGAAGGCAATGTGTTCATTGGAGCTCTTTCCTTCACCAATTAGTTCAATTCTGTATGTGCTCTAGGTTTTTTCACAAGTATCACACTTGGTCTCCTGCTCAGTTGTATCTCTGTCAACAATGTAGGTGATTTTTGGGTAGGATGTCAGTTTGTCTAAAGAAATTATTCCACATTCAGGGGTTGTAATTCTCATGATGCTCTCAAGAAAGGCCCACACACTTCACCATGTGCATGTTTCCACATATTTAACTGACAGTCAATTTCTCCTAGCAGCTAAATAGTTGATTCGTTACCCTGATGGAATAGCCATTCTTCTTTTCAAAACCTAAATGTGTCTAGTTTTTGTTTCATAATGAACAATTTTCTGCACTGCGTAATTCACCTCAAGGTCTTTACACACATTTTCCTCTCTATTAGACATGCTCTTCCTTCAAGTACTTGATGGATAACACAGCTCTTCGGGTTTTTTTCCTCAAACTATTTTCTTATAATGACCTCTGTAACCATATCTATTACAAACCCCCACTAAGTACTCTCCTGTATTTTCTTCTTTCTCCCAACTTCTTTATTTTTTCCAATGTCATGTTTTCTAGTTTTACTCCCACTTTATCTACTTAGTGTCACTTGTGTGACCTTAAGGTTGAGAACCACTGCTCTAGGACAACTGTGTCAATAATTACTAGGGAGGTAACCCACCTGCTAGCACTGTAATTGACAATTTCCAATGTTAGGTCCTAAATCTGCATTTGCTTTTATCTTTCATGTACTTTTGAATTTTTACAGGTAAAAGCTATTGTACTGTTTATGAAGACCCTTGGTAGATATCACTTTTGTGTTATACAGCAATAAAACCTCCCAAGGATTCTACAGCAATGCATTTCCTTTGCTTACATTGTATACTAATTTTCTGTGCTTGCTTTTTCAGGTACATATGCATCTCCCTTTAACTGGTCTATACTTTTGCAAAAATATCCAAAGATTAGCATTATTCTATCTACATAGGAAAAAAAAAACAAACTTTATACAATGGATGGGCAGAACCATAAGGAAAATTCCTGAACAATTATCCTATAATTAAAAATAGGACTACAGTGTAGCATGAATCTTAAAAAGTTCTTATTAAAATCAAACTTGAGGCCAGTTATTGGGGTGAAATGGTGGAAGAAGATCAGAGAACCAGAACAAGCCACAGCTTCCTC